CTCTCTCTCTCTCTCTCTCTCTCTCTCTCTCTCTCTCTCTCTCTCATTCACTCACTCTCTGTCCCCCGAAACGAGAGCTAGAAATGGCCCACTGGGGCGACTCGGAGGTCAGAGGTCGGTTACTCCGCGGAGGTTCCGATCAATACAACATAATATGGGTGGACAGGCTGTCCGACTTGTCAGATCTGATTGGTCCAGTCGATCCGGATCGAATGTCAGACTGGTTGCTGCTTGAGTAAGAGTGTTACGGCACTTGCAACAAAATAATACATGCATCTGAAATCTGAGTACAACAATATTCACAGTAGGCCTATGTCATATCGAAGAAGAAGTAGCATTAAGAACAAACATTAACTTTAACACGATACATGTATATTGTGGACTATTAAATGTGTTACAAAAGAGTTACTCGAGAGAAAAAGAGTTGACGGTACAGTGCGGTAGCTGTTTGATATTTAAGAAAGGGTCGACCACACCAGAGCACCGCTCCCAACCGCCCACACTGGCAGATAAGCGTGACATAGTAACGCAATTAAGCGCAAGAATAACCCTTGACCTCTTGACACTCTTTAGGAATACACGTCCCTCGGTTTGACTAATTCTTTGAGTGTGCAGTCGTAATTGCTATAATTGATTACTAATGATAGTGGGTGGTTGGCGGGTGCTCTGGTGTGGTTTGCTCCTTCTTTCCTATCAAACGTCTATAATTCTGATGTCTCCTCCTTTTCTTGTTTGTTAATCTTTTGTAACACCTCTAATCTTCGGCACTTATATTTGACATTATTGTGTTGCAAGTGCCGTAAAACTCTTACTAAAACTAAACTTACTAATGATATGATGTCTCTTTTTTATGTGTATCAGAACATATAAAGAGCAAAACGCCTTCATCGCCTTAAATTTGTTTTTGTTTGTACATTACTTTTTAGAAAATAATAGCATTAATTATATGTAGGGAATGGCATCTGCCGACATTATTGTTTTCGATTATGCCAGAATAAACCGCCCTCAACTTTTCGTGTCTCCACACAATTTAGTAGTTTTTAAAACTGTCTCCACGAGGTAGTGGGAACGCACTGCCTTTGGGTAATGAAAATGACACTCTATGGTCCAGAATTTCTCTCTCTCTCTCTCTCTCTCTCTCTCTCTCTCTCTCTC